AAAAAAAAAAAAAAAAAAGGAAACAAAAAAGCCAAGGCCATGTAAACCTTTCTACATAATCGCAGCCCACGCAGTGGTGAACGCTTTTTTCAAATTTCCCCTTCTATCTAGCCGCGACACTTCTCGGGTGTATTTTCCTACAAGCGGGGCAGCCACGCGCGCGCGTATGCTGCGGTATGCCGCCACGCACCGGCGCGATTGTGGTTTCCCCCATTGGGTGGTATTCCTTTTCTACATTGCGCGAGTGAAATTAAAAAAAGTGCAGTTTACGCCACCCCCATTTCGACGTTAAATTGCGCGGGAAAAAAATTACTGCCTGTGGTTTGTAAAAAAAATAAAAAAAAAAAAAATGACAAATGAAGAATGACCTATGGAGGAGTAGCGAACAAAGCATGCACTTGCTTAGGCAAATTTGAAACAGAAAAAAAGAGAGCCACATTTTCTTTTCTTTTTTTTTTTTTTTCACGTGCATCGAAAAAAGTACCCCTAAGGAAGCCAAACTTATATACATCGTGACGCACGTGCGGAAAGTTTCCCAACCGTTGGAAGTAGAAAGGAAAATTTATCAAGCGTACAACTTTGCGCGGTCACTTGTGTACCGTAGTGTCATGCCCTTTTTCAACCTCTTCACACTGCGCCATTGCAATAACACCTTGCCCGCAAGTGGCGAAAAATAGTTCTCTCCCAACAACATCGTCTGCATAGCGCGACCGCAGAGTGGGTAGGCCACCCGTGTGGAAGAGAAAACCCAAGAGGACACAACAGAAGTGTGTTAATAGCTGCGAGGTTGGCCCTCTCATTGTGGCACGGGTAAAAAGCTCCACACCGGTAAAAGGCGAAAAACAGCAACCGTGAGAATTTAGAGTCCCCAAAGTTGAGGGCAGCCTTCGCACGTTTACGGTGCCAAATCGGGAAGAAAATTCGCCAAGCGAATTGAAGAAAAAAAAAAAAAAAAAAAAAAGCCGCTGCCGCTGCTACTGCCGCTCTACGCAAAATGAATATCGCCATCGACGAGTACGGACAACCGTTCGTGATCCTGAAGGAGGAAGAGAAGAAGAGGATCAAAGGAATAGAGGCACACAAGAGTAACATCCTCGCAGCCAAGGTGGTGGCAGATATTTTGAAAAGCTCCATTGGTCCAAGGGGCATGGACAAAATTATCGTCAGCGAAGACAATAACGTAACGGTGACAAATGACGGAGCCACAATACTTGAAAAAATCGACATCCAGCATGAGTGCGCAAAATTGTTAGTTGAATTGTCTAAGAGCCAAGACAATGAAATTGGAGATGGGACGACTGGAGTGGTTATTATTGCAGGCATGTTGTTGGAAGAAGCATACACTCTAATTGATAAAGGAATCCATCCTCTACGTATAGCTGATGGGTTTGAAAATGCGTGCAATATTGCATTGAAGGCAATTGAAGAAATAGCCATAACAGTAGATATCGAGCAAAATAATAATGAAATGTTAAAAAAATTGGCCAGCACTTCATTAAGTTCAAAAATTGTGTCTAGTAAAAAGGACCTCCTATCCAATATCGTTGTGGATGCTGTTCTCTCGGTTGCAGATATGGAGAGGAAAGACGTGAGATTTGACTTAATCAAAATTGAAGGAAAAACAGGAGGACTATTAGAAGAGTCAACCCTAATTAAAGGAATAGTCTTGAACAAGGAATTATCCCATTCACAAATGATTAAAGAAGTGAAAAATGCAAAAATTGCCATCCTAACATGTCCATTCGAACCACCCAAACCAAAAATAAAACATAAGGTCAATATAACAAATGTAGATGCGTTTAGAGATCTGCAAAATATTGAAAAGAAATATTTTTACGACATGATTGATTCGTTGAAAAAGGCAGGAGCGAATTTTGTGATCTGTCAGTGGGGTTTCGATGATGAAGCAAATTATCTTTTGTTGAAGGAAAATATCCCAGCCATCAGATGGGTGGGAGGTGTAGAAATGGAACTCATAGCTATCGCCACAGGAGGAAAAATCATCCCCAGATTTGAAGACATACATGAATCTAAATTAGGCAAGGCTGATTTAATAAGAGAAATTAGTCATGGTACTGTCAACAACCCTATGGTTTTTATTGAAGGATGCTCAAACACTAAAGCAATTACTATCCTTTTAAGAGGCGGAAACCAAATGATGATTGAAGAATGTGAAAGAAGTGTACATGATGCCTTGTGTTCGGTTCGAAATTTGATAAGGGATAATCGAATTCTTCCTGGAGGAGGAGCTAGCGAAATTTACGCTGCCCTTGCTATTGAAAATGTAGCCGATAAATGTAAAGGCATAGAACAATATGCCATCCGTGCCTTTGGAAATGCTCTGCTTTCTATTCCAATCAACCTCTGCAATAATATGGGACTCAACAGCATCGATATTATCTCTGAAATTAAAACGAAGATCATTCAGGACAAAACAAAAAACCTGGGCATTGACAGCATCAACTATAAGGTGGATAATATGATCGAGAAGGGAATTTTCGAAACCTTCAACTCCAAGTACAACCAGTTCTCCCTCGCCACGCAGGTCGTCAAAATGATACTCAAAATTGACGATGTCATCGCCCCCAACGACTTCAACTAGGGACCGCGTCACGCAGAGCGGATCGTACATATGGAGGCATATATAACGGAGCCATACGTAGCGAACAAAACGCAGTGTGAACTCCGCGCGGTGCCTGTACCGTGAGCACATTGCCATCTCCTTCCAGCATCCTATCCATTAGTCATCCTTTGAGATCACCCTTAAGCGAAACGCACAGCTTGCAAAGCAGGGTGCAGTGTCCCCCCTTCTCCACGTGTGCATTTTTTTTTTTTTTTTTTCCTGCCCAGTTGTAACTCAATGGGAACACAACGCAAATTTGCCTTCGCGCATAATGCCATGCCTATGTGCTTGCCCTTGCGTGAACACTTTTTCTCGCTCGTAACTCGTAACCCATACGCGCTGCACAACTCCACAAACATGAATTCATAAAAAAAATGCAGCCAACCAAATAGCACACAAGTGCATGTAAACATTTTTTTTTTTTCTTAATTTCCTTAAAAGTACTCGCTTCACATGAATCACTCGTTCGCATACATGAGGGGAAAGAAAAAAAACAAAAAAACGACAGCAGAATTGTGGCGCAGGCAGCGCCAGGTCGATCCCCAGTGCCTCACCAAATGGGACACTCAGGGGAGGCTTTTCCCCGAACGGGGGCCACATTTTCCAAAACTCATGTGCTGTCCTGCACAGTTGGAGAGGCATATAATACACAGGTTTCCTCCTCCCCCCTAGGCAACCCCCCCTCTGCGCGATCGTTGCGCTACAGTTGCGACACCGTGTGGGGGCCCCCTGCACATGCTGGATGCGACTCTCCGTGCCACTGAACACAGCCATATTAAAAACCAAGTTAACCTCGTTGATGTATATGTATATATGTATTTTTTTAAGAGTTACTCACAAATGGGGTGAATTGGTGTTGAAGAAAAATGCGCCCATAAATGTAGACGCACAAATGGGCGATCAACATGGAAAAGGCGTGGGGTGGGGCACACGCGGGTAGGCTGAATGGGGTTCAAAAAAAAAAAAAAAAAAAAAAAACCCTCACTTCGTGATGGTACACACACATGCGCTCTGCAAGGTCATTCTCCATCCCGTCGGGCCTTGAACACATTCATGCAGTTGCTTGGGTTCGACGATGTACAGTGGGTTATCTTTATGTTATCCTGGCAGTTTCCTCGTTGATACTGAGTCATGGTTCTGCCTCCATTCACAGATGGTAGAGCTATTCGACCCCTAGCATGTGGCTGGTTGTCATAGTACACCACACTGCCATCTGCGTTCGTTATCGTCATGGAGGTCTTCTTTCCCGCGGGCCTGCTCATACACGAGGGTAAACCGGATGAAGAAGAACCACTCAGTGATGATGAGGATGATATGTCCTTGCCCTTTCTTAAGTTGCTTCTTGATCCTTGCTCTTGCTTCCCACTGCTCTTCACTTGTACCAAGTAAAGGCCGCTAGACAATCCGGTTGGTGGGGGGGATGGCAACACCCTCTTCAGTTCTTCCTCTTCCGATGGGCTTAATAAACTACCCTCCATGTATAATCCCCTAATTTGGATCATCCCATTGGTGTAGACATTCATTCCGTAACTTCCGTCTGGGATGTTCCTGTCTGGGTGCACCTTGATCCCTATGATGGTTGTTCCCACTTTTTGCACGATCTCGGCTCCGTCCACTAGATGCAGCTTCGTCAGCACGAGGGTCTTATTAATCATGTTCTTCGCTCCCGCCGCTACGGCTGCTACGTCCGCTATGGCCCCCTGCTCAGTCTTCATAACATCCACATCCTTACTAATCACCACGTGGTACTTGCCCCTCTTCATCATGTCATTCAGCAACAACACAACATTTTTGAGAAAGGACGCATCTATTTCTTTCCCATTCGCGTCCATTCCGGTAGCGGTGCCCTTTTCATCAGTCACCTCTATGAAGTACTCTCCTGTAGCTACTTCGCTTCCTGCAATTTTGATCAGATTTCCTTCCCCTGTGACATTTTCTCCCCCTTTTTTATTCGGGTGGTCACCATTCAACTTCTTAATGCTGACGCTGTAATAGGCCTCCCCTTTCTCCAGCGTGTTTTCCATCTGCTGTTCTGCTTTTTGGTAGTCTCCTGGGTGAATCTCAACAAAGAAGCCCAACATGGATCTATCTGAATAAGCCCACGCATTTTGTATGAGCATTTGTAGGTATTCATTATTTACACTGGGACCGTAGAGTGTTGTTGGGAAGTAGGACCCGTTCAGCACTTGTACATAGTACTTTCCTTTTTGCAACCCAGTTCCCCATCCCTGTAGAACTTTCCTAAACTTGCAGCTGTTTCCTTGTCCGTCGTTATCCAGATAAACGTATGCATGAAAGGGGCGATCACCTTGTTCATCCTCCTCCTCCGCTGCTGCTCCTTGTCCACTTTGCTGATGTGGAGTGGTCGAGGGTTTCATGCTTCCTTTGTGGAACTCTCTCACTGCCATATTCTGCATGATGTGCTTCCAAAACGCATCATTGCTTTGGGCTACCGCTCCCTCATTTTTCTCTTGAGCTCCGAAACTATCTTTCTGTCCTCCTGCACTCTGACCATTCAACTTCTTCTTCCATTGGACGGCATAGGGGTTGTCAAAATACTCACCCTCGTCATCCATGAAAAGCTCGCTAACGTGCACCAGGTAACTGCCATTGTTCATCTTCCTGCCTGATATCTTCACCACCTTGTCCATGTCGCTCGAACGTGCACTCTCATTTCCTCTCACAATACTTTTCATTGTACATACTCCATTATTGTATTCTATATGGAATTGCCCGCCTTTTAACGTGTGCCCGTGCAGGATGTAAACTTCTTCATACTCAGCAACTCCTTCATCGTCTTCGGTGTCACTCACAATTTCCACTAAGTAAGCTTTAACAATGTTATTCTGGTTGTCCATTCCTTCATCCTCTTGTGTATCATTCATGTGATAGGTAGCAACAGACGCGGGTTCAGTCAAGACTATCTGATCTGTGAAAACGATCCCTTCGTTCACATCGACGATTTCTTTGTTTGAAAGTTCTACATAGTAAGACCCGTTACTTGGCTTCTTGTGTAACATCTTGAATAAGTCTTGAAAGAAATACTCATCCCGATTGACCTCCTTTCCTAAAGGCATAGTGCTAATAGTCCTTTCTGCACTATCACTCGTCACGCTCAGCGCTTCTGAAACGTACTTGTCGCCATTCACCTGCACAATGTACTTGCCATCGGCTAACCCCTTCTTTCCAATGAAATGTACTATTCTGTTTTTCGAATATAGGGGCATGCCGTTCTTTCCCAATTTGTTCACCAAAAGGTAGTATTCTTTCTCCTCTTCGCCTAACAGAGGGAGTCGCGCACCTCCTACCCTGGCAACGTTAGCAATAACACTGTTGGTGAGTTGCACTCCAAACTTGTATTCCTTGTTGTCCTTTACCTTCCACGCTTTGTTAATGCACTTCTTGATCACTTCAGAGTCTTTAGCAGTTGCACTATTGTTGCTGCCCTTCTTTACTAGGTACCTACCCTTAGTGATAAAGACGTCGTACATCCCTTCTTTTGCGTTCAGTTGTTCCTCGCTTTGCACATGGACTATCTTCCTAAATTTCATGCCTCCACTGAGCGTGTTAAACGAGTTTTCCACTATGCACATGAAAAAGGTATCGCCGTTGTTCGTGTTTCCTCCTCTCAGGGAAGACGACGATGACGATGGTTCATCTCGCCTATCGCTGTCATCCATCTTGGCCAGATGTATCCTCTTTTTTATGTCCAATTCGTATGTGCCATTTTTCAAATTCTTCGCATTTATCATGTCCCCAATAAAAGTATTGTCCAAAATGCAATCTCCTTCTAAACACGTTGCGCTGAGATTTCCGTCTTTCACTACCACGGAAGTTACACTAAAGTTTAGCGTTCCCGTAAGTAGGGTGTACTTGTCTTCGTACGCCTGTTCCTTGTCATCCTTCGGTACGTCTGTCCTCTTGACGCTTATGAGGTAATCGACTCGTCTGTCGTACTGCACCTGGAGGAGTTCTTCCTGGATGCGTTCTACCTTTCCGACGTCTACCTTCTCTACCTCTACCTTCTCTGCCTGTACCTTTCCGACCTCTTTAGGGGGAACTTTCGCCGCTTGTCCCTTTTTTCCAAATAAGTGCACGTTGAACCCGTTCTTCCAAAAGTTGAAAAAGTTGCTCTTGTCGTATGCCGATCCGTCTTCGCGTACTCTTTGCACCGACATTTCTTTATCGGGGATCTTGCCCTTTTGTGCGCTTTCCGAAATTTTAACCAAGTAGTCTCCCTTGTGCAGGCTGATCTGCTCGCATATCATTTTGTAGATCTCGTCGAATGTGTCTTTATTCATGAGGTGCTTCTCTTCCGCGTCCGTAGAGTAGGTTTTCGTGTCCTCCGCCACGTTCAGCGATATGACACCCTCCCTCACGATGCACGAAGAGTGCACGAGGAAGAATAAATCCTCCAGGGAGGTGGCATCATCATGGTCACCATGGCCACCGCTGCTTTTGCTGTGTATGCTCAGTAGGAACGAGGTGCACAACTTTGTGCTGCCCTGTGCGGGGGCAGGGGCCGGCTTGGCGTCTTCCTTGGTTGGCTGGGTTGCTTCCTTTCCTGGTTCGGTCTCTTCCTTCTCCGGCTTGGTCTCCACTGGTGTCACGGCAGCACCACTGTTTGCGGTCGTTGTTTGCGTCTGCTCCTCCCCATCCAACTTCACTTCGTACTCGTTGCCATAGAGGTCCTTTATGACGACCTTCACCAAGGAGCACGACTTAACCAACACCAGGGAATATACGCAGTGCGCCTTCGAGCTGTCCTCCAACCCTCTCTGCGTATTACACTGCAGCGTTCTCAAGGTAAGCGTGTTGTGCTTGAACAGACCCTTGCTAAAGGGGAGCCTCAAAAACTCCCAATACTTCAGCTTCCTTGGGTACTTATAAGCCATGTAATCGTCGGTCGTGTAAATAATCGTGTTGTACAAGTACGAGCTGTGAGTAAAGACCGGCTTCACCACAACATACGGGTCCGTATGCAGCTCCACCATTCCAATCACCTCTATTTGGTACTCCACTATCGCTGCGTTCGTGGCAGACGACGTACTGCTGCTTTCCACAAGTTTCACCTTAATGCTAATGTCTTCTGTCTTGGGAACCACCACCTTCGGGTCATTACGAACTTCGTATACAGGCCTTATCGGCATGCTCTCATAGATGTGCGTCCCGACCGTGCCATCCGCATGAGTGTCGTACTCTACCACGTACTTGTTAAATTCGTAAAGCCCATTTTTCAAATATTTGACGGGCATGTTTCTACACACCAAGTACATTGTGTTGGGTTCTAAATTGAACTTGATCAAAAATTTCGATGTGTCATATTTCTTGTGAGGGTAACACTTCAACACGAATTGGTTGCTGTCGTCAAATGTGTTAGCAATGAGCCCTACATAGGTAACACTCTCGAGGGATAAAAATCTGTGGGGGGATAGAACCACTATTGCGCTCAGGAATTTTCCATCTGAGGTACTCTGTCCCTCGTAGAGAAACAAGTTGTTGAATGAGCTGTGAATTTCTGGCTGCTCCTTCACGTATATGGCTCGGTCCGTGTAAGTGAAGCTGGGGACGTTGTAGGTGAGGATGTCGTCTGGCTTGAACAGCGGTCCGGCGTTCGAAAACTGGGGAGGCGCCAATGAGACGGCTACACCTCCGTCGATTCTTCCATTCACGCTGCACGTATGGCTGCTCTGCAGATAGCTCTTCACTTCGAGGATCATCTTCTTCTTCTGTTCGTACGCGTCGCTTCCTCCAGCAACATATGGTGGCACATCTGATGGGTCCAACTTTCGCCCATTCTTCTGTAGCAATTGCCGCAGGTTCTTGAGCAGCTCGGTGTATAGCGCCACGTTGAACTGTATGATCGACTCTTCGTTCACTCTCTTCAGAGATAGCATGTTCTTGCTTATGAGAAGCGAATCCAAATAAGAGACGGAAGGTACTACCACTACTACTGCTCCAAATTGCTCTTCCTCGCCTCCACCGCTCAGATGAGGCAAATCACCCTTGTTCGTCAAAACGCTCATTTCGTTGATCTCCAAATAAATCGAATTCTTCCTAATTAACTCGTTCACCTGGGGTGGTACAGACAAAAAGTAGTATATCAGGCTCAGAACTTCCTCCCTGGTTAGTGAAGCGGCAAACTTCTCATCCAACTGGTAAGGCAGCACGTTGCTGTCTAGGTGGTTGAACAACTTCACCAAGTCCTTCTTCTCAAAATTACAAATTTGAAGTATCTCCTTTAAGACGGCCCCTCTATCAATGCAATAGTTGGTGTCGTAGAATATGTTCGAAATGAGTGACTTCCCATCGTTTGGAACGTGCAGTTGTCCTCTGTTCAAATAGAGCGTTCCACAAGACTTCTCTCCTAGATTGTGTATGCCCACTGAGTAGGCTACTTCCTCCACAATAATGCGGACGGTTCGATAAATATCTGCTGTCATCACATCTCCTCCCATATTAAGTTGAAACCTCTTCGACACAGTCAAATATCCATTGTTAATCATATTCGCTACCTCTTCCTTGCTCTTGAACAAAATGTCTTTTCGCTGATTATTTTCCAAGTAAGACACGTAGTAGGGAGAAAATCCTTCATAGTCGAACTTGGGATTATTGCAAACCTGCAGCCCGTTATAATAATGGTGACATACCAACGTCTTGTCATAATACACTTCAGTCACTCCTATGTGTGTGTTTCTAATTTCTGTGTTTAAGATCATGCTATACGGGTGCACGAAAAAGGTTTGGTACTCTACATTGATCTCCTTCACCAGCTGGTTGCCCTCTTTCGAAACGAAGATAACCTTCTCCAGCATAAAAATAGAATTGCTGTTCACGTTGTCGATGTAAATTTTGAAAACCACCGACTTTTCTGTAACTGTGTGTGGGTCTCCACCCTTCAGCAACAGCACTCTGCGCAACTCCAGCGTTTCCGTCTTGTGCGTCTCTCCCACGAAGGGGACTGCCAAGTTTCTAAAGAGGAAGTAGACGGTGTACTGGTTGTCTCCACCTACGTGCGCGGGGGTAGCTGATGCTGTTCCCGACGCTGCGATATCTGCCCACTTCTCCATCTTGATCGACACCATCGCTCCGTGCTTGTCAAACTCAGATGTGAACTCCGTGATCACGTTTTCGTCATAATTCTGCAGGTCCATGTTTATGCAATCTAGCACATTCACGTGCATGGCTGACAGTGCCTCTCCGTCCTTGCGCGATATATATCCTGATTCACCCATTATCCAGTTGGTCATGTACTCCACGTCGCTTTCGCTCCAGCTTGCATTCGCAACCGAGAAACTTACCTCTCGGCCGAGAAGTTTCTGCACTATGCTGTATCCCATTGCCGGTACTCCTGCTGGGGAGGAGGAAACGGGTTCCATCATCTGCAGCAGGGTAGTTTCGTCTTCGACACCCTGAGTAAATTTGTGGCTAGCCAAAATGTATCTGTACAGAATGTGATAGTATAAAGAAATTTCCACTTCATCTACAAAGTTGGAACAGCACAGGGACTTCTTCTTGATCATGAGGACGCCATGCTTGGACAGGTGGAACGCCATTTCGTTCGCCGTGAGCTTCTTCTCGCTTCTGTATTTGAACTCGTCCACGTAGACGAAGTATTTGATGCCTGCCAGGGGCTCCTCGGACACGGCTCCGGATTGATTCTCTCCTTCTCCTTGCTGTTGTGCTTCCTGCCCCCAATCGCGGCCACTCGGCGCTACCTTCCTATAAGACGACGTTAATTCCGTGACGTAGGCCGCGAGCAACGATATCTCATTTACCAACGAGTCGTATCGCGTGGTGTGTCTCTCCAGCGATACTTCGAACTGGTCTTTCAGTACAGACTGTATGCCCTTCACAGCCTCTCTCTCCGTGGGGATCATCTTGTCCAAGTGCTCCACAACAAAACTATCTATGAGGCGAATTCCGGTTAGGTCGTAAAAGAACGAGTAAAAGTCGTACCCGTTCGATAAGTAGGCCGCCTTAAACAGAAGTATATACACGTTGGAGAAGTACTTGTTGGGGTACTCGACATTCCTGTGCTGGTGCAATAAGTTTAAGTTATTTTCATCAATGCTAACATTCAATTTGTACGTCTTTATCGGCTTCAAAGGTGCGTGCGATTCGTATATTTCCATCTGCACCAAGTCGAACACGTCATGCGAATCTTCGTCTTTTTTGAAAAAGTTCAAATGTATTTTCTTGTTCTTAAGGTGGATGAAATATTTTCCCAAGTTGGCCTTCAACAGAACTTCAACCATCATCTGTATCGCATCACAATTTAGCGAGTCATTCACAAGAATGTTGAATTTATTCATCAAGTAGGCGTACGCTCCCAAACACTCATACTGGTACGGAGACACGTTTACAAAATGGGGCGACGTCTCCGCCTGGTTGTACGTCTCTGCCCCTTCGTAAAAGTACATATAATTATTCAAAAATTTCATGTACACGTTAGGCTTGATCTTCTCGTAATTAATGCTGATTTCTCCAAATGGGTGGTACAGAGTGGCGTCATTCTGTTTGGGCGTCTGCATGTGGGTTAATACCACTCTTTTGTTGTCGACCACGTGAACCCTGTGCGTTTTGGTGTCGATCTCAGACAACCCCTTGTAATACGCGTACTCCTCATAGTCGTCGTCGTCCTCTTCCTCGTCGGCATTGCCGCTATTACCATGCAAAGCCTTCGCTCCCCCGGGGGAGCCTCCCTTGGAGAAAGACTCCTTCCCGCGGCTCCACTGAATTTTGTTCGACCTCCCGTTTATGTAAAAGCTCTCGTTGTAGTGAGTCAGGATGAAGCTCTGCTCGCCGCCACTTACTCCGCTTCCCTTGCTTAATCGATACACGACCTGCAGCATCTCCTCATGCTTCTCATCAAAGTGCGTTGACAGGTGCACTCCAAACTGGTTCCTCTTCAGAGCCGCAACCGCACTCCCAACCATCGACCCCGCATCGTTCAGAACAAACTTCGTCGTTATGAGACTGCACCTGTTGATGTACTCCTTGCACACCGTGTCCTCATACACTGAGGGCACCGATACGTTAGGAACCATCCCTCCAGGGGTGAGTGTCACAATGCAAAAGTAGCCCTCAACGATAGAGCGCTGCACCGAAGGAGTCAGCAAAATTTCGGGATACGGATTGATGTTGATCATGTGCACTCGCAGCAACCTCGTGTCAAAGACGTACCCGAAACTGTACGCGGGGAAGCAAACTTTGGGCAATCCCTCGTTTTGCACACATATGTCCTTAACAGTTATGTAGTCCAAGTTGTCTTCCACCACTATGGGATGCTTACTGGTGCAGCTACCCTCCCTGCATTGCATGGGGAAGGAAATTTCCTTCAGTATTACCATCACGTCCGAAGTGTCTCGCGCGTCGGCCCTTCTCCCTATGACCGTCATCGTCACCACAGTGCTTCCGTTTACATACTTCGGTACGCGCTTCTTCAAGCTGCGCACAAACCTTTCATCTACGTGTACATGCACATACACCGTGTACCCAAATATGTTATTGTAAAAAAGCTCCAACTTGACCTCCTCAAATAGAGTCTTGTTCGTGATGAGGCGCTTTACCATGACATCTTCAGCTAGGTTATATTCCAAGTACAAAATGGAAAGGTTACAGTCTAACTCATACGTATGATACATGGGGGACATGTTCGCATAACTGTGACCCACTCTCACCGTGTTGCACGTGTGCCTATACTCCTCCTTCAGTTGTAAGTTTATAAATCTACTCAATTGACGAGCGATAGATTCCAAAACAACTAAACATATTTCAGTGGAAGATCTAAGTACAAGTTGATTTTCCTTCACTTGCACAAAGTGGTTCGATCCGTATTCTGACACAAACTGGGATTCTTCCTTCAGTATTACTTCTCTTTTGAGTCCTACTGCTTCTGCGCTGAACTCAAACGCTAACGAATTTAACAACACCGACAACTCCTCGGCATATATGTTATACTCCTGATCCACGTGGGAAGAAGAAAAAGAAGAAGTGGTGTTCCCCTCCTTTTTCATCGACAAACCGGTGGTGTAGAACAACATATCTTCATACGAAACGTTGTACAACTGCTTGAATAAATTAAAAAGAATTCTAAACATGTGCACGTACTCCATTCGGTTGTTCACGTTATTCTTATAAATGTACTTCTTCTGGAAAAAGACGTGACGCGTGTAAATTGTGACCAATCGTCCGACGACGCTTCCTCTGGGAGAGTAGTATCCACCATCTTTGTATTTCAACGGAAGTTGAATTGTGTAGTTCATTTTGCCAATGTTTACCAACTTGTCATTTGAGAGTCTATCCTCCAATTTGATAAGTATGGGCTGGCTATTATTATTGCTCATGAAATTCAAAGTTGAGCTCCCGCTTGTCCTTTCATCTCCAATTGAGGACTCAATCTTTTTTATAAACTTATCAACCATATGGACATGGTAACAGTGCACACTAGACAAGTCATAATGGATGTTATAATTCACCGAGTGTGTCGTAATAGTACCTGAACAAGGATACACTAATTCGTTGTAAAAAGAATATAGCTGTGTGTAATGTTCAATTGTCTTTACATTTAGTTCAGAATGAAAATATAAAAATTTGCTAAATAAAAAATTTCCATGGACGAATGTCTTTTGTGGAAATGTGATTTTATTTTTTTTGTCACTTCTTACTGTGTGTGTAATCCTATTTTCCATTTCTCTCAAGTCAATTACTCTCGTATTGTCACTACATCCTAGACAGTGACAATTGTTACCGATATCGTAGTCTGCATTGTTTATCAAATCCGACATTTCCAACACAACACTGTAGTGTAGGGATGGAATGCCTTTAAAAATAAATTGGACACTTCCATCCTTAGAAAAGGTGTCCGTCAAATTGTGTACAGAGACAATATCACTTGATTCTTTTTGAATCAAGGTTGCCTTTATAACATGACCGCTTATTCCATTCTTCACATGGATAGAATAGTCTGCAGTTTCACAAATGTTTTCGTACTCCAAGAGGCACGTTTTTCCAAAGGATCGTACATCTAAGATGTATCTCCTTTTTCTACTTGCTGCTCCTGCTGCTGAAGAGGAGGAGGATGACATTAAATCCTTTTGCGCAACGTTATAGTAGTCATCTTCATAATTTATACCCTTATTATCCAATACAGGGGAGGCAGCCCAAGCGCTGACCTCGGACTTATTAAACCAGGAGCACACTATGCCAAAAAGGCACACAACCAGCACACTGTACAAATTCACGATACCCATTTTTACTTCAAACGTACTTAATTATGTGCGCAAGCATTTACGAAATATAGAAAGCACATATATATATATGTATGTAAGCAATATTACCAGTATGTTAAAATATAAATATGGTGGTTGCACACAACATGCATATATACTTACTAGTATAAATATAAATAAATATTCATGTACGCCTTTGCGTACTTTTTCTGCGACTCCCTTAAAGAGCACTATACAAAAGAATTCACACACAAACCAGTTATAACCAACAACATGAAGAAAAAAAAATGAGAAAAAAAAATAGAGTTATGCAAAACTATTTTCAAATAATTGTTTCAAAAGAAACATATTTAAAAACAAGTAAAAAAAATATTGTGTTTTAAACATAAATTTTTTAAAAAATATAAAATTTAAAAAAAAATATTTTTTTTAAAAAAATGTTCTTTTTTTAAAACATATTATTTCAAAATGAAATTAATTAAATGAGGATGTTTTTTCATATGGAAAAAAAAAAAAGAATTACTAATTTTTTTTTTTTTTTTGCTTGGTCAACTACTTTGAAGACTTAGAACATTGACTACTTGTTCTTTTGGCTAGCTCAACACTTACAAAATGCTGCCTGGTTCAGGATTATAAGAATCTTTACAAATGCACCTATACATATACGTATATTTTTTTCCCAGGTAGCGAAAAGGTTCCGTTTGTTTCCCTTGCTCTTTTTTTTTTTTTTTTTTTTTGTTTTTTATGGGGTAGCTAAAATTTGTCTTTTTTACTTCCAGGTAGCTAAAACTATATTTTTTTTTTCAAGTAGCTAAAAATATATTTTTTTTTTTCAGGTAGCTAAAATTATATGTTTTTTTTTTTTTTTTTCCAGGTAGCTAAGAAGTTATTGCCGTTGATGGGGCACTTCCACATGTCACACCGTGCAAGGCTCAAAGTTAAAACTTAAGCGTTTGCAGCATTGGAGAATGTGAGTGGGTTCTCATTTTAATTGACATTCATCTACGTTTTCAAGGATCACACAAGCCTGCTCCGGCAACATAAAAACGTAAATAATTATATACTGGTATTGTTGCTGGCAACGCTGTAAAAAATATTTATAAACGCCTTCATATGAACACATGGGTGTTGTGCACCTCACCCACGACGGCGTGAAGCATCCGCCCATTTTCTTGTGTTACACTGAGCATATGCACGTACTTTCTTCTTCCATATTGATTGTCCTTATCGGTGCACGCTTAAAAATACGGAGAACGTAAGAATAATTGTATTTAAAAAAAAAAAAAAAAAAACCAAAAATTTTAAGCTTAAATAAGGTGCAAACATTTAACTATCACGTGTAAGGGATAAAAATAATTATACTCTCTTTATGTATCAACATATACACTTGTGTTCTACTTCAGTGCTTTTATATTGATGCACAATAAAGCACAGAGGAGAGAAGGGTGATGTAGTGATGTTTCCAATCTGTTCAATGGAAAAGTTTCCAAGTGGCAAAATTTGTTTCTGCATTTATACGCACAAGGTGCACTTGTATCTTTTCAAGGTATGCATGTGTAAATGTCCATTGTAAGCACACAGGAAAAAGAAGTTACTAATGTTTATAAAATACACACCGAATTGCGCACACTGACACCGTTTCCTGTATAGGGTGCGTTTCATTTCCTTTGTGGGGTGCACATTACCAGAAGCGTGTTTCTCCACTTTGTAAAAAAGAGAAAACCCAATGATCACACGTTGAGATGTTTTTATCCAAGGGGTAACATTAATAGTGACAATATGAAAATTAAGAAAAAAAAAAAAAAATTTAACGTCCCAAATTGATTAATCATAATGATTCAAATGAAATTGTTTCCTTGCCTTACGTGCATGCACATAGTTTGCCGTTAATTGAGAAAAAAAAGAAAAAAATCGGGTTCAGAAAATGTTACACATCTTGATGTGTCCAAGGTTAGCAGCGGTGTTTCTTATGTAACTTTTAACTTTATGGTACAACTTTTTTTTTTTTTTTTCTTGTATACCCCGCTCATGTAAGCACTCCAGGTAACGGTGCTATACGTAAGAACAATCATAGCGACATTTAAAAAAAGTGTTTGGTATTTAAATTAGGGGTTCCTGTCTTTACGAAGTGGATGTCAATTTTATGTCACACATGCGTAACCATGTTATGGTTAATCCATGTATTGCACTCTGGAGAGTTACTTCGCAATATGCCTTTTTGAGGAAGTGCCTTTTTGCATCCCACCCCCCTGCGACTGGTATGGCATTTAGGCTCATGAGCACATGCATATGTGAGTGCAAATGAAAACGAGAACATACTGATTTATTTATAAACCGTGCTTATCGGGTGAATAGAATTGGGTGTGGAATTATAACGTAATAAAGTTTGGTGTGCCTTAGACCCCATCTTGGGGGAATATAGAACTCTAGAACTCCCATGGTGCAGATAAGAACTTAGCCCTGTTTTTCTTGTCAAGGGCGATCCTGCGTTTCGTGCGAAGCATTCCTAAGTGGTCAAGCAGCTGGGCAGGCACGGCGTCAGGCGATTAGACGGTTACACATGTGTTCGCAAAAAGCATGTGCATGGCTTAACATTGAAAAAAGGCGCGATAGGTATAGATGCACCTGCGTGAAGATAACGGTAAACGGTGTAACGCGATGAAAGTTAGGTGACGTATGTTATGGCACAGCATATGTACGTTTTCATGTGCACGAAGAATGCCCTTTTGGGGGTGCAAAAAAGTATCATGCAGTTTTGTTCAAGGAAGCGAAAAACGTGTGATCCGAGTGGGTGATAACGGGACATGGTCATGTTGGTCCTGCTCTGAATATTATTTCCCCGCCTTCTGTTCATACAAATAGAGCCCCATCATCCTTGCATACACCTTTGCCTTGGTGCTCATAAGTAGTGGTGCGTCAATACTTCCCCTTGGTGTATACATCCAATGACACCTGAAACAGCACAAGGGGAGGCACATCATTTGAGGACGCATGCGAACTGCACCTGTTGGTAGTTGCATGAATTATACCTACAACCCTTTTATTGGATGCAGAAAAAAAAAACCCTTATTGGGTGTCCCCCTTTGACATAGCGCTTATATAAAAGAGGTATACGTACACTTCTCAGTAAAGCTAATATTGTACGTCATGTTTCCATTTACGTTTTTTCACGCATGTGAGTACTTATGGTGTAGTTGGAACGGGCTCCCGCAAGAGCCTCTTACCACGATATGATGCCTGATTCATACCAAATGGAAAACTCACACCATGTGGCCGCGACCAAAATTAATATTTATAATAAACACATACCTGCGTACTTCCCCTGCAAACCAAGCGTCAGCAAAATTGGCCGCTTTCCCCCTTCGATGGATGGCGGCATTTCTACCGATGTAGTTTACACCCACTCACTAAAATAATCGTGCAGTTTTTTTTTTTTTTTTTTTTTTTCTCACCAAATTTTATCTACTGTGAAGTGGCGTATACATAAATGTGTGTTCAACTCTTAGGGAGGCATAACTGGGAGGCTTTCAAAAACACAGCGACGGTTGGAAACTGTCATCTCAGTGTACTGTTCGCTGCTCACAATGTGTAGGCGTGACGGTCAATGAATGAAGGAAGCTTAACGCTACTCATGGATGTAATGGGTTGGGTGACATGAACTCCCAAAAGGCTAGTACAGTTACACACACGATTTGGGTTTGGACATCCCCCCAGGAGTAACAAAAAAAAAAAAAAAAAAAAAAAATGAAATCGCAGGGAGCGGGGAAACTAATGAAAGATAAGCACATAATAATATGAGCCACATACACGTCAACACCGTAAACGACAGAAAAGGTATATTATATGTGTACATGAGAATAAGACCATTTGCTTTACCTGATCAGCAATGGGTCAGTAGTTGAATAGGTCTTTCGCACAATGTGCAGGCAAAATGGAAACATTGCGCACCCTTTGTTAGAAATAACGACAGACACCTTTTGGTTCACACTTAAAAGTGTTATAATGGTACAAGGTGACTTTGTACTTTTTGTTTACCTCGGGACATGTACCAACGGAAAGGGGGGGGCGGCAGACTTGGTAAGGGTGCGGTAAAAAGAACATTGGGGGCATTTGAACATGTGGGAACTTTAAATTGCGATGAAGTTTTGTCTAAGCTTTATGTGCAGGGCGTACCTAATTAGTTCATATGTCGCGCACTACCACGATCATCACTACTGCCGCCGCTTACAATTATGCCTTGCACACACGCAAACATTAACACGTACACACTGCTAACGCCAAAAAAGGCATCGACAGAGCTGCTATTCACTTCACGAGACGCGTTAAAATGAAACCTTCTTTGGACAAGCCAACTCGCTCATGTTGAAAAAAAAAAAAGAACTAAAGGATGCCGCTTTGCATGGAACAATAAAATGGATTTTACATCGCGTGGAGGAAGCTACGACATTTTAAAAAAGGACCACTTTGTAAACACCTTTTTTAAGACGTTTTAATTTGCACCATTCACGGGGGTGGGTGTAAAAAAGCTGTAGCCAGCAGCAATTAATGTTGGGAGGCGAAATGTCCTTGACGTGTTTGTCCCGCGGAATAAAAAAAAAAAAGAGCAGTGAGTGGTGAAATTTGAACGGTTAAAAAATAAATAAACAAACCTTACTAATGCTCCTTGTTTTTTTTTTTTTTTTTTTTTTTTTGTTCCTGGTCTGTCCAATACAGGCAGCGCGCCAAGTATAACTCACATAAAACGAACACAAACCGTTCCTCCCGACTTAGAAGCATCTATGCCTTTTTCCACAAACCCGTTGATACATTTGCTTATATTCATACATATATATAATTGCTAAGCGTGCTGAAGACGATAGGTTCGGTTATGCCAAGTGCAAAGTGTACATTTGTTGACGCACGTGGAAATAAAATCCGCAAGCGTTTTTTTTTGTTTCCCGTCCTCACTTTTGCGTATAAACCTATAACAACCCGTGCGCAAAAAAAAAAAATGGGGAAAATAAGGCAAACGTGAAAAAAAAGGGAAGCACCATGAGACGTATATGTAAATAAAAACGTGAACATATGGAACAGTAATGTAAAATATCACCCGCTTCCTTCCACTTCATAGCTATTGAAAAAAATGCGCGCTAAGTTTGCAGCCGTAAGAGTTAACAAAAAATGGTAACTGTTAAAAAAAAGAGGGGGAAAAAGTAACACAAAAGTGAACGCTGCTGTATTATTTGCGCAGGTAGGAAGCCATGCGATCAGGAGATTGTGGAGAAAAAAAAATGAAAAAAAAAAAAAAAAACACGTAGAACACCCCTACAGGCATACATAATAAATAAGGGAACAAGTTGTATATGTACCCAAATGGGCTGTGCACAGTTCGAACACGTTCCATCCCTGGCAGGGTATATATATATATAATAATAATACCAACCCCGCTCCCAGCGCACATAAAAAATATGCCCGTGTGAATATCCCACAAAGTAGCCTTTTCAAGTCTGCACACAATGCAAAGCACCACAGCACGGCAATCGCACAGCATCAAAAAAAAAAAGAAGAAAAAAAAAAAAAAAAAAAAAGTATATGCTCACATACATTTATATATTTTTCCTTTTTTTTCATTTGTTTTTTTTATGTACGCTTGTATATGTACCTTAAACAACCCTACCCTGAATGGGCTCCACCCATGCATATGACTTCCATTGCACCGCCCATATTGGATCGAACATTGTCACCTTAACCCTATCGATGCAACATCGTGTGCATCTTACCAAGCTACACCCTTATGCATTCCGCCACATACACAAAAAATGAAATGCTTCTTCATAGTAGATGCCCAAAACGACTTCCTCCCCAAAGGGTCGTTCAACTCTCGAGACGATTACATGGACGCACTGAACAAAATTAACGCCATAAGACTAAGGCTACACAACTGCACAGAAAAGGACCTAATGAAATTAAACAACTGCAAACACATGATGCAGTATCAACCGAATAAATTGTTAAAGGAAAATATCGTCCACTATCACCAGTGCAGCCATGATATTGATGATGACCAGAGGGTAGGGGACATTCTTCTCTTCCCATGCGATGATAGGATGGTGACCAATTGCTCCAATGGAGTGAGCGCCCTAAACGTTTGCAGCGGATTACAGAAGCAACCTGCACAGGGCACAGTGAACCAAGTTGGCGACGTGTCCAATCACAGCGGCTGTGCAGACACGCCGCAATATACCACACCCAACGACGCAAACAACGTTACACTACTAAACAGTACAGAAGACAGCAACAACGGAGCAAGTGCAAATTTTACTCTGAATATATTATCCGTGGACTACCACCCGCAGCATCATATTTCCTTTGCAGAAACGCACAGAAATGTGTTTGAGCAGATAAGCAAAAATGGCGGCATCAAAAAGAGCAGCGCAATCTTGAATGGGGTAACCCAAGTACCGTCTCACACTGAAGGCGATGGGTTAGCAGTATTTGAGGGGGAAGCTGCATGCGACGACGACGGTATGCTTCGCCATGATGATGGTGATGAAGGGGAGGTTCAGCACGAACTACAGGCAGACCTGCTACAATCTGCGTTCCTGGAGAAACATAAAATTTTGAACCTGACTGATGTGATGAAGAATATAAACAATATCAAGTCGACGAGGTACATTTACAAAAATGTTAATTCCGTTAGTGACATAAAGGAATACAGCAAGCTAAATTTTCTGAACCAATCAATAGATGTGTGGCCAGTCCACTGTGTGCGGAACACCTGGGGGTGCAAAATACACCCCAATCTTATTAGGCACATAAACGATATTGTAATTAAGAAGGCCGACACGGACAACCACGACAGTCATACTATTTTTGAAAACAGTGAGATAAACGAGAAAATTTTAAAACTGCTCAATGGACTCAATATAAAATCTGTTTACATTTGCGGGTTCATATTTGAGTACTGCGTAAAGGAAACTGCTTTATCTTTTTTGAATTTGGGGTTCGATACCTACATTGTGGAGGACGCAACGGCATACTTGTTCGGACGGGAGGAGGATAAGGACTACTTGAAGGAGAAGGGCGTCAAGTTTGTGAACTCGTCCACCATGTTCGCTTGATGGTGGGCTTATTGGGAATGGACCAGGGGGAGCAATAGGGGCAGCAGCATAGCGTAAACGCGCGTAGGATGCAATGCGCACCTAGTTTCACGCACCGCATGCGAGGCACTCTGCGCAGAGCGGGGAAACTACAAAACCCACAGCAGGTGCTCCACCTATCGTGATATCTGCCCCTTCATAATCTCGTTGCGAAGCAGTCAACAAGTTACTTATTTACAGCATCCAACTATACCATTTCAAATCGGAATTGAGAAAAAAAAAAAAAAAAAAAAAAAAA